CTGAGTTATGGTAGGATTTGTGCTTTGTGAGAGGCTGATCTTGGCCTCTGAGTATGGGTCTGGGACTGGTCTTCAAATAAATATTAATGGGCATGAAAAAAGCAACATTCTGGATGTCTCCTTACTGTGTTTGTGTCCTCATCCCTCTGCCAGTATCTCTACCACCCCTAGGCAGGGAAAGCCTGAGGTTGTTCCCAGAACCATGTATAGTTGGCTCCTTTCAGACTTTGCACAGCTTCCTTGGTTCCATATCACTGATTCCTCTCACATGCTAGCCGTTGGGCAGGAGGCATGCCCTTTTCCCACTGCAGACCAGGCCTGCTTGCCTGCTAATGCTACTGGGCTAAAGCTGCTCTGCTTGTCTCAGACCAGAGGGATGCTTCTAATCCCTTTTATTTGGGGATAAAACTGAGTTTTGATAGCTACCATAACAGAGTCTAGGTGGTCCTAACTCCTGCTTTTCAGCAGAATTCTCCGTAGTGTGCTTCCCACCTGCTGACAGTGAAGTGATCCAGGATCCTTCTGCTGCTGGAGTTCACCCTGAGCTTTGTATAAAATGGCAAGCATGCCTGCCTGCTGCTGTTGCCCATCTGTGTACTGAAGCACAGTGCTGGTTCTCATCACTCACCAGCTGATAACTTGTATTCTCACTGCTGCTTCAGGCTTTTCCACATCACTGGTCCCTGCCTCTGTTGATTGTTGATGTTATTCCTTGTACAGTTGGGATTCTGGTGTGAAAGTCTGTCTAGGCCATGACTTCGAGTCTTACATATTTTATTTTCTAATAGATTATGTGTTTGTGTTTTACTATTTATATCTTTGATACATTTTGATTTTAGTGTGGTACATGGTGAAAGATATTGATCTGGATTCATCGTTCTGCATGTGTATAACCAGTTTTCTTAGCACTGTTTGTTGAAGAGTCTTTCTTTCCTCTACTATTTTTTTTCCTGTTTGTCAATTATAAGGTGGCTCAACATATCTAGGATTGGTTTTGCATTCTGTGTTCTGTTCTATTATTCCACTGATCCATGTGTCCGTTTTGTGCCAGTACTATGCTGTTTTTATCACTGTAGGTGCTGTTGGTATTTTGATAGAGATTGCATTAAATCTGTATATCAGTTTTGGAAGTATGGCCATTTTGGCCAAAAAGGATAGCGAATGTCTTTCTATTTTCTGATGACCTCTTCAAACTCCTTTTTCATAATACTGAAGTTTTCATTGTAGAGATCTTTCACATCCTTAACTAATTTAATTCCTAAGTGTTTAATTTTTCATGAGACTATTATGAATGGTATTGGTTTCCTGATTTCTTCCTTGGTGGGTTTACTGTTGGTGCATAGGAATGCTGGTAATTTTTGTGTGTTGATTTTATATCTTGCTAAATTACTGAATTCATTTATTAATTCAATAAGTGTTTTTTGTGTGATTTTTTTGGGGGGTCTTCTGTGTAAAGGATCATGTCATCTGCAAATAATGACAATTTGACTTGTTCTTTTCATATATATGTCACTTATATTTCTTTCTCTTGCCTGATTCTCTGGCTAATGTTTCAAGTACTCTAACGAATAGGAGTACTGATAGTAGACACATTTGTCTTGTTCCTTATGTTAGAGGCAAAGCCTTCAGCTTTTTTCAAATTAGTATTCTGTTGGCTGATCAGTTTGTGCTAGTTCTGTTCTCTCTTTGGTTATGTCTTCTTTAAACTCAGTGAATTTCTTTGCTTCATCTTTTATTTTTGCAATTATTATTTTCCTTTCCATCAGTGCCCTTTGGGTCTGCTTTGGGAGTTTTGGAAATCTTTGGAGGCATTTTGTTGCCTTTTTTCATGTTCCTGTTTTTTGATTGATAAATTATGCCGAAAGTTTAGGTCAAATCAAATGAAAAGAGTTTTTTGTTGGTGTGAATATCTGTTTAGTTAGGTTCTTTTTTTCTGTGATGGCCTTATTCATCAGGAGGTGTTTGCCACCTCATAGTATTCAGTTTAATTGGGTTGGATCCTGTTAGTGTGTTGTAAGGAGACAGTTTCTACTGGTTATACCAGTGTCAATGGATCCAACTGTACATCAACCACAGACATTAAAACTTGTTTTAATAATTTCATCTTTTTGTCTATATTCCTTCCATACTATATTATACTGATATTCTTGGTTCATCTGGGATGTGGAAAGTGGGGAAGGAGAGACAAGGGGAAAGGGATGAGATTATGTCAGTGGGAAGAGAAGGAGGTGTAAGAAAAGTCAGTAAGTAAAAAGTACAAGGTCAGCTAGGTGTGGTTGCAGATGCCTGTAGTCCCAGCACTGGGAAGACTGAGTCAGGAGGATTGCCAGGAGTTAAAGCCAGCATAAAGCTACATAGTGAGTTCAAGGCTAATATGATCTACATATGAGACCCTGTCTCAAAAAACAAAACAAAACAAAAAAATAGGAGGTTGTACTGTGTTTAAATTATTTTTATATCTTTAGTAAAGGGTTAGTATTGAAGAGATTTGAGAGTGTGTTGGTTTAGGCAGGAGAAGGTGTGCAGATAAATGGAAGTGTAGAGTTTGAGGAAGGCTGTAAGATTATCAGAACTTGTTAATATATTTGTAGGTAGTTTTTTTTTTTAACTTTCCAATTCCAATTTTTAAAGGATTACCCTGATATGCTTTTGAATGGTACTGTTAAATTTATAGCACTGGTTAATTGTTGCTCTCTAATGCACTTATACAGGCTTCTGTTACATTTATGCCATTATATAAGTAGAGAAGAGGGAGAAGGAAAGTGAGATAATGAGAGAGAAGAAGAAGAACAGGAAGGAAAGAAAGTAAAAAATTAGAAGAGAAAGCTGGGCATGGTGCACACACTTGTAATCCTAGCATTTAAGAGTGAATCAGGAGGACTGTCATGAGTTTGAGGCCAGCTGAACTACATAGCAAGATCCTGTCTCAAAACGAAATGAAATAAAATAAAACAAACAAAAAATAAAATAGAAAAGGTAGACGAAAAGGACTAAAATGGAGCAAGTAAAAGGAGAAAATCTTGAAGAATGAAGTGTCATAACCAAACAAGAAAGAAGCAAGAACCAGAAGAACAAGACAACCAAAACTAACAAAAGAAAATGGAAAGAAAGGGAAAAAAACCAAACAAACAAACTCCAGATGACCTAATTCAAGTGAAGAAGCAAGGAACCAACTAAAAGAAAAATAGTAATAAAAATAAAAACCTTCACACAGTTTGCACCCCACTAACCCAGAACACATCTGCACAGCTCCCTTTACACTGGGGACACAGTCTGATTGTAATAGTTTACCTCTGTAGGCCAGACAGTTTATTCTGTGTTGCCTGCCCAAAGCTGTGAAGAGTTGCTTTCTTCAAATATGTGCCCTAGTTGCAATTGGTCATGTCTGTGTTCCAGGCCTCTGTGGATCCAATTTCCTTAATTTATTTGGGGGAGTAAACATTGAAGATGTCTCTATGTCTTCCCTCTATAGGTTTTTCTTGACCAGTATTTAGCCAATGATCACTGGCCCTGGCAACATTTACCTTACCTTCTCTCTGTCCATGGATGTCTATGATTCTCAGCCCTACCCACAAAACCTAGTGTTAGCCCTCTTTTCCAGTGTAGAGTGGTAGGCAGGACTTTCTACCTTTTCAGACCTTTCTAGTTTTTGGAGAAACAATAAGACAGCCCTTACTCTGCTATAACTCTGCCAAGTCACTCCTTGACCTGGACAGTGTCTCTTTTCACAGATCTCACTGCTCTACTGTTTTGCATATTTGTCACAGACTAGGTTTCCATGCTCTGCTGTCCCCAGCTAGGCAGTCTTGGGCTGCCCTGTGGGAACCTGCTGGCAGTTGTGAGTAGTGAGCTGAACATTTCACAGATAGTACTCCCATTGAAGGAAAAGTGATTTATTTTTTTCTGTGTCAGACAAGCCTTTCTTCCCATAGTTCCATGGCTCACAGGTGCTAGAATACTGTTGTTCATAAGATGGGTGCATGAGGATTTGTTCCACTCCATGCTGGTTTTGGCATCTTTAAATCCCGTGGTTGCATGTCTCACTTGCCATGCCCAGTCAGGAGGTAACAGTAATTGTGTCTATTCAGTAGGCCAGACCATCACCAAAGGGGCAGATCTGTTTCCTGGGATGCCTGGTCTGAAGTGGAGGTGGGGTTCCATGATCCAGGAATGGTCTGATTTCTCATCACACACATTCTAAATACTAAGTTTTAGTCAGCTAGATTTTCTTTTCCTTTGTCCTCCTCTATCAAACCCTGCATCAGGATATCTGTTTTTCTTCAGCACCAGTATGGAGCCACTCACCCTTGCTTTCATACCCTCTGTGGCCCTCTTCCCTCTTAGTGCTAAGAAATTTTGTTACTGTTCATATTTTGATTTTTGATTTGTGTGGTTTTATTCTGCTGCTTTTAGATTAGTTCATCAAGTCAGTCATTTAGCCTTTATTCAGTACTTGCTATGTGTTTGGTAATATACTGTCTTGAAGCCATGATAAAGATAAGTGTGTTGCATTCCCTGTCCTTGAGACTTTCCAGATCACTGGAGTGGAAGAAAGGAAGATAGCAGCAAAGAATAAAGTGTTCTAATAAACAAGGTCTGCATTCTAGAGCATAGTGGTTGGATTTGGAAGAGTCACACAAACTTGGCTAATATTAATACAACCTGGATCTATACCTGTATTCCTTAATGCCTCTGAGCCTATGTTCCTTACGTCTCAAATGGGATAATAGTGTTTCTGGGCATAGAGCTGGTGGGAGGTGAAATGAGGAAATGTGTGAAGTACCTGTGTAAGCAAGCACTTAGTAAGTGACAACTGTATTATAAAACATTACCAGAACAGAATAATAATGAACTTAAAAGACTATACATATACACTGTAAATAGTTCATGTATACTTTTTTCATTATATATAAGTGGACAATTGGTAAATCTATGATTAAAAAATGGGTGGCATATATAAATCTGGTTGTAAGATGGCTCATTTTTATGTATTGTTTTAGGTACCAAAGCAGCCAGACTCACAGCCTAATTCTGATAACCTTAATCGCCAAGGTGAATGTGGGAAAAAACAAGTGTCTTACCGAACTGACATTGTTGGTGGTGTACCCATCATTACTCCAACTCAGGTAACATTTTATTTTTTGAGGACCTCATTGCATATTAATTTTTTAATTATCATCCAAACTAAAATACCACATCTCTTCTAAATTAATAAAATACTGAATTACTACAAAACCTACTATTTTTTTCCTATTCCAAAAGTATATGTTTATTGTTAAAAAAAAAAAATATGTCACAGATAAACATTTAATGGTTTGCATGTTTCTTGGAACCTTCTTATGTGTACTATGCACTCCCCCAGAAATGGAGATGTGAGTTGCATTTTGGGCTTGGTAAATAGTTTTTCACTTACCATAAGCATTTTCCTAGACATGAGATGATATTCTAAGCTACGTTCCATGACTAGAGAGTAGTTCTGCCCATGGAATTTTCATAATTTTCAAATTCAATATGGAGTTCTTTTTCTCCTTTTCTTCTCTTTTTCTTATGATAAACTTCTTATGGTTTAAACTTTATAGTCACAGATGATGTTTTATAAATGAACAATTCTTAGAAAAAATTTGCTGAGTCACAGTTTACAAATATGTATATTTTTTTAAGATTGATTTTTTTTTTTTACAACTTAGATTAGATGAGCTAAAACAAAAGAAGAATTTTTCTTAATGATGTCCCAAAACTATGATATGCTGATGTCTTACTTGAGTATTAGGAAAAATATAAATTTGTAAACAATTTTTATGACATTAAAACTTGTGTATGAGTTTAGGTTTCTTGTGTTGCTATTGATAGAACGTTTGTCAATAAGTTTTTTAAGTGTTACTGTCAGTGTTGGGCTTTTTAAAATTACATTTGTGTCTTTTGAACTTAAAGGATTTTAATAGTTTATAAATCTTTTAATCCAATTATATATCATATTTCAGGTATTTTGCCAGCAGAGGATTATTAATTAAAAGAAAAATCACACAATATTATTTACCTATTGTGTGCCTTCTTTATGCTTGGTATATCAGTGAACAAAAATCCCTGCTCTTTTGGCAGTTCGCAGTTGTTACCAGAGTTGAATAAAAAAATTAAACAGGATTGTGTATGTGTTTGGTTTTTCAAAAAGCAGTTGTTTTAACCTAGTTATAGCTAGACTAAGTTGTTTTATTTGTATTATGACTTGAATTGATGTAGATATTTTTGCCTGTAGTTGTGTTTAGATAATGTAGTAGTTTGTATCTGTAGCCACTGGCTATTATAATGTCTTGTTTTCTTCAAAATAGCTGTTGATACTATCACAGATAATAAAATCAAACAAACCAGGATAAAACCATTCCAACTAATGAATGCAAACATTATGAGGCGAAGCAATGTAATGGGGAATCATGATTGCCATAAACTCTTCTGTACTCTTACCATTTCTTACACTAGGGAGACTATATGGTATTTGTACATGTGAGTTTGATTTATTTCACTTACGAGTATGATCTCAAGTTGCGTCCATTTATTTATAAATATCTCAATGTGATCATTCTTTATAGATAGGTAGTACTCCCAATATATAAAAATACAACTTTTTTATCTTTTCCTCAATTGATGAACACTTAGGTTGTTTCTAAGATCTGGCTATTACAAATTGTGCTGCTATAAACATGGGTGCACATATATCACTGTGAAGTATTTAAGAGTTAGCATCAAAAGCATAGTCCGTAGGGCAAAAGATAGGTAAATTGAACCTCATTAAATTTTAAAATTGCTTTGTAAAAGACTGTGTTTCAAAAATAAAAAGCTATACATGCCAGGAAAAAAAATACTGTTAGCCTTTTAGTCAACAAAGCTAACAAAGAACTTGTATCAAGAACTTACAAAGAATTCTCTAAATTCATTAATTCAAAAAACAAAAATCCCAATTAGAAAATGGGAAAACTTCATGATAATTCAGAAAAACAAAACATGAAATACTATACTGATAACAAGTGAAAAAGATGGTCACCATGAGTAGCCAATACGGAAAAGCGAATTAATACCGTAGTGAGACACCATATCTTTCAGAATGGGTAAAATAAAAATTGATGTCAATACAAATGCTAACGAGAATGAGAAGAAATTGGATCTTTCACCTTTTACTGGTGGAATGTTGGTGGTGGTGGTGGTTGTGGTTTTTTTTTTTTTTTTTTTTTTTTTTTTTGTACTAGGAATGGAATTTAGGACCTTGTGTAATGTTGTTTTATAAAAATAAATTTACAGTTCTATACAACTCAGTATTTGCACTCCTAGCCATTTATCCTAAAGAAATGGATGACCCTGAGTAACTACTCTGAAGATAACAATATGCAATGTGTTGATTATTGTTACTCTCCTACTGACCTGTTTTGAAATTTTTATTTTATTTTTTCTGTTTAAAAAAATTAAAATTAAATTGTGTTCCTATTTTCCAGCATAACAACATAAAATGGAAGTATGTTTCGGAGCTAACTAAGAAACAAAAATACTTATTTATTTTGCTTCATTTTAGAAAGAAGAAGTAAATGAATGTGGTGAAAATACTGACAAAAATAATTTGAAAAGATCACAAAGCCATCTTCCTTACTTTACTCCTAAACCCCCTCCAGACAGTACCGTCATCAAAGCTGGATACTGTGTAAAGCAAGGAGCAGTGGTGAGTAGCTTAACCAAATGTGTAGCATTATAAAAAAGGAGGCTGCACTAGCAACTCACATTATTCAGACAATTTGTGTTATTTTATAAAACACTGAAAGTGAAGACTGCCAGGCTGGGAAGGACATCCGGAGGCAGAGCGGGGGTTGTTCTATATTTATAAAGTAGTGCTGTTATTTCCTTGGCCTGTGGACAACTGAGTGAGTTAATACCTGTTTACACTGACCTTCAATTTTGATGAGTCTTTCTAACAGTTTAAATTTATTCCAGAATGTTCTTCTGGTGATCCCCCACACCTGCAGGAATGGGTGAGGGGAAAGCTCCCTAGAGAGGAGGCATCTTGAGGTTGGAGAATGGAGTGCTGGGTTGACCTGACCTCAGGGGAAGTCCCTGTAGGCTTGGGCTACTTAACCTCCCAGATTCTGTTCTCTAAGGAAAACCATTTATAAAAATTAAGATCTAGAGGGAGTTTTGGAAAGTTAGAAAGTTGTAGCCCATGGCACAATACCTAGTACTGAGGAAAAGCTATTACAGGGGAGCCCAAATACTGCCACACAGCTCCATGATGGAAGATTTCTGCAAAAACAAGTACATTTATCAAGTATTTCTAAGGAAACAGGTGCTTTTGTAAACTTATTTTGTTTGTGTGTGAATCTTTCAAATTGCATGAGAAATCAAATTTTTAAGTTTTGAAAATAAAAGACAGAAAGGTGTGTAGGAATAAAAAGGTACAACCTATTGGGACTTCTGCTTGAACTGCTCATCTCTTTCTAGCAACTGATTCTTTTAGGTCGGCCCAGGGAAAGTTCTAGTTCTGTTTGACTAGAGAAATGAAGGCAAGGACTGGAGTTTTCTCACTGTACAGCTTCTGTAGGCGGAGTCATTTCTCACAGGCTGTGTACTCAGGACCCATTAATTGAAGCTTTGAAGGAAACGGTCCTTTCTCTTTATTTTTCTCCTTTACCTAGTATCAGTCACTTAGAGATACTTTAGACTACACGCTAAAGGTACACTTCATTGACAAAAATGTTTGTATAAAATATTTACCTTATTACATATATATTATATATTGCTTTTCCACTAGGTGTAAAGTACTGGTAGAAGGATTCATGTATTTTAAAGATGGAGAAACCTGATGTGGTATATTTCCTTGCTCTTTATTAGTGTTGGGAGGAAAGGGAAATACTTTATTTTTATTTTTTGACTATTAAAAGTATGAAATATTTTTAAAGATGTTAATAAAATTTAGAATCCAACCACCACAGGTTGAACTAGGAATTATGACCTGAGCTGCAAACAAGAGATGAGCTTTCATTTACCACCTTAGTAAGGGAGGGCCATGAGGTTTTCCGTAATTCACATTTTCTATTGTAGGTTCATATCCGAATGGTTAAGTGATTAACATTTGACATTCTTAGAAACTGAAGCCTTATTTCTGTGTTCATTTCTGGTAGATGAAAAACTGGAAGCGAAGATATTTTCAGTTGGATGAAAACACAATAGGCTACTTCAAATCTGAACTGGTATGTTGCTACATTGTAAGTGTTGCTTTACAAATGCTTGAGAAGTGTTACATTCAGGTGAAGTATCATTTTTAACTATCTAGTTTTGAGGGTTGAGCTTACTTTGTTGTGGTGCTTTTGTATAATAGCATTTTTCTTAAAAAGATAGTGTCTTCAAAGAGGCATCCCATCTTAAAGATCTAAAATTAGCCTTCAGAGAGTCATTAATTATGCAATTAAGTCTCTAATGTCAACATTTAACCCTTTGTTTTTGTCTTTTCTTCCCTGCCTTAATATTTTCTTTTCTTATTTTAGATTGACTCTTAAATTTGCCCATGTAAGCTATTTTTGTCCTGTCTGAACATAGAATTAAAAGATTGAGATTTTCTTTCCCACTTGTTCAAGTGACATCCTAAAATATTTGGTGACCTGAGCCCTGCAGTAGGTCATTGCATAAAGTAATTCAGGTCTATACTTCTTCTTGTTGTGTGTCTACATGCGGCTTTTGAGTACTGAAAATGTGGTTAGTATAACTGAGAAACTGACTTCATTTCATCTCTAAAACTAAAACTGATTTTATTTTATTTTCATTAAGTTAAATATATCTATAGCTAGTAGTTACTAATATTGGAATGTGTAGCACTAGAAAATAGGGGAAAGAATATTTAAGATTCATCTCAGGTGTCAACTCTCCAAAGAGGTTTTGCCAGGGGAGAGGAGTTGGAACAACCAAGGCAGCTGAGGCAGAGCCCATGCAGAGTGAGCAGAAGAGCTCACTGTGGAGCAGGGAGACGAAGGCATGCTCATGGGGAGAAGATTAATGGCAGAGATGGAGAATGTTTGCATATGTACATATTGATAAAATAAGAAATTCTGTATATTAATGGTACTCAAAGCCAAGTTTCCTGCAGTCAAAGAAGAATAATGAAGAAAAAGAAAAAATTTTGGTATTTGATTGGTGTATTTATTACTTAGCTTTAGTCAGTATCTGAACCAAACAATTTAAAGGAATAAAGGTTTATTTTGACTCATAGTTCCAGAGATTTGGCTCCATGGTTGTTTGGCTCCATTGCTTTTGAGAGACTGTGGTGAGACAAAAATACCATGATGGAAGGGAATGGAAGAGCAAAGCTGCACACCTTCTCTCAGCCAAGAGGCAGAAAGGGTGAGAGAGCCACAGTCAAAGCATCCAGGAGCCAGGTATAGGCCCGCCAAGGTCACTCACTTCAGCTAGTCCCCACCTCCTATTCCTAGCATCTCCCAATAATGCCATCAAATCATGGTCTCATCCTTTGATTAATGCATTAGTAAAATTAGAACCCCGTGGTACATTCATTTGAGAAAGAATGAGAACTGCTACCAGGTCTTCCAACACAATGAGATTTTGGAAGGACGTTTTAAATAATCACCATAACAATTGGAATTTGATATGTTGATATACTTAATATACTCAGGTAGATGTAGATATAAATGTGCTCTGAGAAGACCGCCATTTTCCATTGAAAGAAACCTGAAGTTCATCGACATTGGCAGATTCCAGAGCTGGGCCAAGAGAAATAAATGTACAATGAGTTTGGAATGTCTTGTGTCAGAAAGCAAGGACATATTCAGGAATGACAGAGACAAACAAAAAGACCCAAAAGCCACTTTGGAAACATTTCTCCTAGCCCAGTTTGGGACACACGAGAGCATCCAAGTGTCAAAATTCAAAAATGATGGTAATAATATTGTAGCCACTGAATAAAGTAGGAATCCATGAGTCCATACAGATAGAAACAAATGATTGCATGATGAGTGAGTATATGTCTATAGATTGAAGAATAAGATGTTTATATAGTTAAAAAAATACCTACCTGCAAAATTGATAGTAAGCACACACAAAAAAGAATAACTTTGGAGTCAAGAAGCCTGGCAGATACTTCTTTAATCAGGCAGCCAAATAATTCAAATGAATTTCATCAGTGATGACAAGACTGAAGTCACCACCTGAAAGAATAATGTGAGAAAAACAGCATCACCACTGAGATTCCTGCCAAAGGTGCATGGTCTGAATCTAGTCATTAAACACCAGACACACCCAAATGAGGGAAGTGCTATGAAATAGCTCCTTTTAGTCTGAAAGTCAAGATTATGAAAGTTAAGAAAATAATTAGGAATGGTCCCATTAGTAAAAGAGAAACAGATCATAAGCAGATCTAATTTGTGATTCTGAACTGAGTATTTTTTTTCTAATAGAAGACATTTGGGAAATTTCCAGACTTTGAAAGTTATAATGTAATTATGTGAGAGGATATTCTTACAGAAAATACACAAAAGTGTTCAGGGATAGTGTGGACCAGGACAGTAGCTTGTCTTAAAATGGCTTGGGAAAATCAACTTTTTGTGCTGTATTTTCAACCTTTCTGTAAATTCATCATTTTTTTCAAAAGTTGAGAAAGGACTAGATGTGGTGGTGCCTGCCTATCACCCAGCACTCCTGAGGCTCCAGGAGTCATAAGGCCTGCCTGAGCTACACGGTCAGTTCAAGAACAGCCTGAAATACAAAACAAGACCCTTTCTAAAAAACAAAACAAAGAACGATAAAAGAGAGAAATAGGAAACATTGAAGAGACTATATCAGGTAGAAATGAAGGGATGAGGAGACAGTTTATTTTAAAAGAAACTAAAATGGCCCATAAAAATAATACTCAGTTTCACTCACGAATAGAGAAATGCAAATAAACTACTGACAGTTCTTTTCATCTTCATGAGAAGACCCACACTGAGACAATGTTATGTAAAGTAAGTCAGACACACAGAAAGTACAAATAGAAGACAGTACAAAAAATATTGTAATCCAGCATACCCAATGTATCTAAAAGTATAGTTTGATTTAATGTAATTGTTTTATGTATTTTATATGTTCTTTGACCTGTTGATCTGTGCTTAAATAATTAACTTCATAAAGACTTATAAAATAGACAAATTTTATGATAAAATGAAAAACATTTTTAAAAATTTGAAAACTAGGAATAGAGAATTAAAATGTGTTATATATATACATATATTTATATATATCAATTGCCTACAATGAACATAATCATTGTGCACTGCAAGGATTTACTTATAACATTTCAAAAACAAAATACACTGAAATATTTAGTAACGTTTAATCTGTATATTACCTTAAACATTTTCAATAATTATATATACCTATATATTCATGTTACTCATTTAAAAAACGTAAAATATTAGTATCTTAGAAAACAGGGTACAAAGTATGTAGACATTCTTTGTGTGATTTCTGTAAATGATTTTGTAAAACATAATTTGATTAAGAGAAAGTGTTCTGTGGTTTAATTTTTTTCTTTTGCTGCATAAAATAATGTTATATCTTAATCTCATGGTAACATTAAGTAAAATTCAGAATACAAAATTTACTGAAATGTATATTATACTATTAGGAATCAGTTATGTCTTATATTTAATTTTATTACCTTAGGTGAAGTATTTAATATGTCTAATCCTCAGTTTCTCTTGGTGAACAAGAAGTGTATGTATTGTAGGGCTGTAGAAAGTTTAAGATAACTTTTAAAAAGCAGATCATTCACCAATAGTAAATGTTCAATAAATGGTACTTCATATTAAAATGATACTGGCAAAATAATATATTTAAGTCAAGCTATATTGCCATCAATCCCTCAAAATACTTTGAACACACTTGCAATTCTGTAAGTTCTCTTCCCTGGGCGTCTTGAGTTGCACTGTTGTGGCTGCTTCAGTGTCCTGAATTGATTGAAAATACTTACCTTTCATGGTCATTTTGACTTTGTGAAAGAGTCAGAAGTCATATGATGAATAAGATCTAGGGAATAAGGTGGATCAGCACAACCATAATATTTTTACAAGCCAGACTCTCTGCTGGATGCTACCCAGCATCATAATATTTCTGTAAAGTCATGAAAGAAGACTTCAGGAACTGCTTCAGAAAGTGCAAGAGTGTGGTAAATGTTCAAAAGCAAGGGAGGATATTTCAAGGGGAATTGATGGCAGTGTCTTTTATTGTAGTAATTTAAACCACTTTTTAAAACATTCACTGTATATTTTAATCATTTTATGTATATCAAAATGACATTCCAGAAGCAGAAGTAATATACTTAACTGGTACACAGGGATATTTCCCAGGACCAACTCTGATGGTTAATGGCTTTTTTCTTTTAAACATAGAAATGCCTGTTTTATTTATAGTTAACATGTTCAAGTAATATAGCTCCTTTTTATGAAACAGATGGCCTTTTAAAATGCTACACTGTCATCAAAGCCAAAAATCTTACTTGAAACGACAGTGTGTACACAGGTATTGAATTGATATATTCTGCATCGTCTGTGGTTTAAGAAGGTAGATTTATGGCTCAGATGTGCTTCAAGAGAGAACTGTAGTTTTTCCATTGGCCTACAAATAAAACTGACCCTTAAAAGGATTTTAAGAATAAATATCCTATATGTGTTTGCTTCTTTGCCAGGAAAAGGAACCTCTCCGTGTGATACCACTTAAGGAAGTTCATAAAGTCCAGGAATGTAAGCAAAGGTAAGAAACTTGTTGGCTGACACTATCACGACTTACTAAACAGAGCAATGCCTTAGTTTCATTATATTTTTCTAATTAATTTTTAACTCATTAGAGTTGGGATATACTAGAATTTTGTGAATCCTCAAATTAAAGTATAAAATAATTTGTTTATTTGAGAAGTAAAAATTCATAAGAAGCTTATTAATGGGAAGAAAAAATTCAATAGTACAACAGAAAAAGACTATAAAAAACAAATTAGCCGTGCCTGCATCCTTTGAGCAAACTGGCAAAGTTTTGAACTCTAAAGTTGCTTTGTGAACTTTTTCTAAAAATAGCTACATAAAATTTATACAATTAAATACAAAAAATAAATGAGAAAAATAGTAAGTCTTATTAAACTAATTCAGTGTTTTATCTCAAATATTTATTGACACATACTTGGCACTGAGAAAACAAGTAAAAGAAAAACTATCAAACTATTGCCATTTAAGTATAATGGATAATTACTTTTTCTAACAGTGACATAATGATGAGGGACAACCTGTTTGAAATTGTAACAACATCTCGAACTTTCTATGTGCAGGTAAGATACTTATGTGGATACTTTAGAGTCTTTCATAAGAAATCAGTAACTGTAGAGGTGAATAACCAAATGGTGTTAATTGCTTTTGAGCTTAAAAATACGACAATTGCAATTTATTACCTTAGTAAAACATATAAAAGGTTACTTCTGGGTTGTATATTTAAGAATGGGAGTATGTTTGTTATGAATTAGTGAAATATAACTGTTTGGAGTAAGAGAAAAGCTGTTTGGGAGATTGAGGGCTTGACGCAGTCTCACTAGGTATTTCAGGATGGCCTTAAACTTTTTAGCCTGGCTGGTCTCAAACTCACAGTGATTCTCTTGCCTCAGCCTTCCGAATGCTGGGATTACAGGCAACCAACTAGGAAAAGGTTCTTCTAATTTACATGTATAGCTTCAAATTGGATTATTTTCCACTTATTTTGAAATTTTAATTGTATTATTCTTTGTCATTTTATAAAAAGGGGAGCTCAAGCATTCCTAATACAGTTAAGCATATCTTAGAGTTTTACTAATAAGAGCACTTTATATTTAAGTTTAAAATGTACTTTTTAATTTCCACAGTGAATTATTTCAATTGAGTTTTTTAAAAAGAACATTTGTTTTATAAGTTACATATGTTCACTGCAGAAAAACTGGAAATAAAAATTAAAAAGGTGGTTTAGAAAACAGTAATCATACATTTAAGCAACCATTCTTAGTTTTTTGTTTTGCCTTTCTCATAGCAAATGGGGTTATACTACATATAGTGTTAAATCCTATTTGTTTCATGTATTATAGTCATTTCCTCCCACATTATTAAAAATTGTCTGAATTTTTACAATTGCACCACCCTCTATTGTATGGATGTTCCACAGTAAATTGCTTATGTTATTCTATTGCTGAACATCCATTTACATACGTTTGGTGCACTTACTATGATAAATAACATGATGATGAACATCTTTTGCGTAAATTTGCCTGAATTTCTGATTTCTCTAGGATAAGTGCTAGATTAGGTTTAACCATCAGAGCATGAACCTTTTTATGTTGTGAAATTAGTTTCTGAAATTCAGTTCTTATTAGTAATAAGTGGAAGTATTGTCTACCATTGCTAGCTTTGAATTTTCCTTCCAAAAACTCTTTGCTAAGTATCTTCAGTTCAAAAGCATTCTGTTTCTTTAAAGTTATTGGACTTCTAGATTCTAGAATCTAGTTCTAGATCTACTTCTAGATGTAGGTAAGGGATCATAGCATTCTGGAGTCTAGAATAAATCATATCTCTGCACCTTCCTAGGAAGCTATTTAATTGAACTAATTTTATAGTAAGGTTTTAAATGCACAGTGGAAGCCAGTCCCTATCAAGGAGTAAAATGTTATATGACTTTCACTTAGAATTCAGGATATGACTAAACTTATTCCTAGAAAAATATTTTCAAAATAAGGTATATATTCTTGTAGCATATTCAGATAATATAACAATTGATAAAAGAAAATAAAAGCTTTCTTTTCTTAATTTCTTTCTAGAGATGTCATTATTGACATTTTTGATGTGTCTGATCTTAACACATTAAATGCACAGTTTATATCTCTGTGTTTAGTAACTTAGCCAGCAAAACCTAGTTTTAAAAAGTGCTTCTAAAATTGGGGGTGGGGAATGGTGACAGTATAAATTACAGATTAAGAGCACTGGATTTATAGAAGTAGAAGGTAATTTTGAAGAAAATCTAAATGAGTCCTTTCCTTCCTTAGGCTGATAGTCCTGAAGAGATGCACAGTTGGATTAAAGCAGTCTCTGGCGCCATCGTAGCACAGCGAGGGCCTGGAAGATCAGCATCTTCTGTAGGTTTCCTCTCCAGGGTAATATTCCCGTAGGACCTCATCCTGTTGAATTGTATTCCTTCCTCTTCCCCTAATCCTTCTTGTTTCTTTCTTGAAATTTATTTGCATGTTGACTTTCATACCAATTGGACTTGCAAAAAATAATCCATTTCTAATTTAATGCTTCCTTGTAGTGTTACGTATATATATATAACTTTCTGTGCATTGTAGTGTGTTCAATGCACAAGCAGGATAACTAAAGAATAAACATTTCCTTGCTTTGTTTAGCAATTGTTACTTGTCAGTAGGTCTCAAACTGGTATAATTTGGACACTTAGTGTGGTATTTGGCCTAATTGTTTAAGGTACCTTTAGTTCTTGTGTTACACCGTTTTGTGAGATCTCAATTTTTCCTTACTTTCTCATTTGATTTAGGTTTTGTTTGTTTGTTTATTTACTGGCTCAATACCATAAGTCCACTGAACAAGCTGAAGTCTTAACTACCTTTCAGAATTTTCCATTTCTTTTTTTTTTAATTCTTATTTTCTAGCAGGTTAATTATAAAAGCCTGCTTCTGAAAACTACTGTAATTACCTTTGTGGTACTGTGATAATAAAAGTGAAACAGCTAAAAACACCCTACTCAGAAATAGGAAGAAAAATATTTTTCATGTTCAAATACATCATTAAGAAATAAATTTTGCTTTGGAATATTTTTGACCACTTATCTCTGAGCTGAAAATACAAATTTCAGTGAAAAATTAAAAGTTAACAATGTAGCAGTGTCATCAGCAAGAAAGAAATCTAGTATGCACTGTGGCCTTTATTATTTAGACTTTTTATATATGCTAGGTATTCTGTACTTTTAAAATATTTTCTGGTATTTCCTAGTAGTGATAACTACAGATCAGTAAATAGAAATCCACTTTTCATTTCTTACTTATCATTCTACTTACATCCTTTTCGAAATCTCTTTAAGAAGTCACTTTCATAGGTCTTAATTTTGTAACTGCCTGTATTATATGACTTTTTCAGCAGTTAAGTATGAGATTCTCTGCAAAAACAATGTCTGTTGGGAAGAGGAAAGTTGGAGAAGGGTGTTTGTGTTTTGTGCTTTGTGGTGGGGGCAAGTTGGACTACTTAGCTATGACTGTCAGCAGAACTTTCTCTTTTCCTCTCTCTCTCAAGTATAGGTTAACTCTAATCTTTGCACTGTGTTCCAGATGCGGCAGGCTAGAAGGCTGTCGAACCCTTGTATACAGAGGTATACATCAAGAACTGGTGAATGCGGCACGTATGTGGGCTCTCACGCAAACGTGCCTTCTTAGTGGAGGGCCTGGACTTGCTCACTACTTACAGCTGATCGTAGAAAGTTGAGTTAACCAAACTGCCCTTTGCAGTTGTCATAACTGATTTTGTCAACACTAACGCAAACTATTTCACCATAGTTACCAAGTTGAACATGGGTATTAAAGAAAACAATAATAAAACTTTACTAATGAAAAGTAACATTAGACTAGCTTCTAAAAATTTGCTGAGTCGCTGCAAGTTTTAATTTTACACTATTGACTTCAAAATATACCTTTGTTTTAGTAATATATGCAAACCCTGTATCACTATAATTTTACAGGGCACTTTGAATATCTGGTCAACTTTAGCCATGTAGTAGGATTCTATAGTGGTTTCATAATATTTGCATTTTTTTCCCCCTCAACGCCACTGGTATCATAAATAAATGCAACCATATTGTGTAGTATATTTAGAGTGTACATACTTGGAGACTTCTTCAAATTTGATCTAATTAGAAGCATAATAAAATTAACACAAGTAAAAAACACAAGTTTTTAAAGCTTTAAAAGTTCTTAAAATAGGTACACTTTTAAAAACTTTAATCATATGAATGTGACATTCAAAATTAAATGAAATTAAGTTAAAACACTGTTGTCACTGGTTTGCAATGAAATTTAAGGGTGCAAAAACTAAGTTTTATCAGAATGCTAGACAAATAATGTTTTTAAAAATGTTGATTCCTGCCTATTCAATAAATGTATGGCCTGATTTCACTTTAACATTCTGCATTTTATTTTTATCTTTCTGAAATATGTGGTGTAAATCCTATTGTTAGTTGAGAGTAGACTCAAAATGGTAAATCTGATAATGTTACTTTTAAACACAGTTCAGTTGCAGTTGGAACACTGTATCCTACTTTAGGCTGGCTAAATCTTCGAAGTGTTACAGGCTGCCAAATTCAGCTTTGGTGAAAGAACTGGTTTCTTAGTGCAAATGGTTGTTGGCTGTCACAGCTTTTAACTCACCCCTTAAATACGCATTGCTTTGGGAAAGAACTTGCACATTTATGCTGCATGGCCCACGCTTCTGCTTTATGTGTACGCGTGTGCGTGTGTTTGTTTTTCAGAGAATCAGGTCTTACACTAAGTTTCTACTCTTGTGGTTAATGATGGTGTCTGACCACTCCTCCTTGTTTCAGGAGCATTCCACCTGTCCTCCAGAATCCAAACACACTGTCCGTTCTGCCAGCACAGCAGCAGCCACCTCACATTCCACAGCCTCTCGCAGCCACTCTTTGGTCTCAAGCCTTACCATGGAGAAGCGAGGATTTTACGAATCTCTTGCCAAGGTCAAGCCAGGGAACTTCAAGGTCCAGACTGTCTCTCCAAGAGAACCAGCTTCCAAAGTGACTGAACAAGCTGTGCTAAAACCTCAAAATGGCCCTCAGGAAAAAGATGGTGATCCAGTGGACTTGGACGATGCAAGCCTTCCAGTCAGCGATGTGTAAGCTGGAAGTGATGTGGGGCCTGACCGCCCCTTCTATCCTTCAGTGTCCTTTCAGGAGGCTTCTAGCCAAAGATGATAAAGATTGAAGTGGTTTTTAATAATATGTATTATACTGGCTCTTAGATACGTTCTTTACAAGCTGGTAAACCAAGAATCTAGGGAGCAGCCAAACTAAATGTAATTCCTTTAAGAAACAAAAACCATTAATTGTCTCAATATCAGCTGTTTGAAGCTTTATATATTCTCATTTGGGTGGTAAAAATGTGTGTGTGATACTTTTTTTCCTTAGTGACTTTGCCAGTTTACATATTTAGCAACTAAAAACATTAAAAATGCTTAATTATTTTGACCCTTTAAAAAATGCTATTATGACTTCCTATTAAATGTTCAATATTTACACATTCTTACTCATTAATATTATCACATGAAATATGCCAGACTAAGATGTCTAAAGTCATAATGTCTGTGGTGCTGCAAAATTTTTACTGCAATGTGGACTATTTTGAAATTATAACCATTTTTGATCCCTAGATCTTGAGTTGAGTGGTAAATTTTGCAAAGAAGCTATGACTAGATCTTTGATAATTATGGTGGGTTGTCCTGGGTTAGAAAAAAGAAAATGAGAATTCAAACAAGTGTATATCTGAGATATTTGGTTGAAAAGACCTAGGACTTGGAATGGTTAGTGCTTTATTCAGCAAAAATTACAAAATTGGAAATTTTGAGGAGCTCTGATTTTTATCAAAGTTTTGTAAATAATTCTTATTTCTATATTTGGATCAGTGAAAGAACTCAAGTTTATATGTAAAGACATAACTGCCCTTAGTCATGAAATTGTTATGGCCTCTATTTTTTGTCACTAATAACCTATATTCAAGTGCCTGTGTTTTTTCATCTCGTTTAGGGATGTTTTGAGGTTAATGTGTTCAACAATCCTATATGATTGGCTTTAAATATTGGAATAAATTAATTTTCAATAGCATAGTTTAATGTGTTAAAAAAAAGTATCATTTTATGTTAAGAGATACCAGAATTCTGGTGTTTTTCTACATGTGCAATATATATTTTATAAAACAAAATCTGAGTGTACATTCAATCAAGAGGATATCATGAATAAAATCACTTCCCTAAAGAATCCTTAGTTTCAGTTGTAGAATAGTAGAACAGTTTGAGCAAATACTATTTGGCAGTTCAATCCTTAACAGTTGCTTTAAGAAAAACAGTCTTGAATTTCACATGCTGCTATTTTATGATGTTTTACTATTTTACAGTGCTGTTTTGTTTTGAATTCATGCATACTGTTTTGTTTCTTTTCATTTTCTAAAGTGACTTTATCTGTGAGCGAGAGAGGAATTTCCTACTCCAGTAGTGGGGTCCTGAAGTTAAGATAGATCATAATAGAATTACTCAGTTTTAGTTTAAAAATTGAAATGTACAAGAATATACCACCAACTCTTTTTATTCATAAGCTAATGTTTTTTAAAGTTACAGATTTTTCTTTTGCAACTACATTTGGAAGTTGTTAGAATGAAAAGGTTTTAAGTAGTTACCACTTTTTCTGCTGACATACATTATAATGGCTCTTTTAAAGCAGAATTTGTTTTTTATAAATATATCTAAGAAATATGTGTAGACACTTTGCAGTATTCGAGAGCCTGATGCCGTTTTCTTTCGTACAATGTCCACATTGCATGTGCATTTTAGCATATTTTGGTATTAGTAATTTGATGTTTCGTGGTGGCAAGATATTAGCTCTATTTTGGGATTTTTTTTTTTTTTTTTAATAGAACTATCCTGTTGCATAGGAAAATGTTCTTGTGATGGTCAGGGTCTCCTAATATTTATCTCCCATCTTTTATAAGTCTATGGAAATTATTTAATTATTTTAAAACTTACACTTTTCTTGTAAATATGTCACACCTAAAGTGTCAGAAATTTGAATACCTTAATGTTTGCTGCATTTTTTCTGTGTATACAACATGTCTTCTTTCAGAATGAGAATGTGTACCTCCCAATGTTTACTGTTAATGTCTTTTATCTTTATATGTCGATCTGATTGAACACTGTAATGACTGATAATAAACTATTCAGAATTCATTCTAACTTCTCGTTTTATTTTAGTTAGTATCTTTTAAACAAGTAAACAGAACTGGCAGAGTGTGTTTTGGTTAATTAACCAAATCTGAATTTACATATGTAAAGACTAATAATTTGGTAATCTTAAAAAGAATAAGAAACCATGTCTGTGAATTCTTAAGGCATACCTTCATGTGAAATCATATAAGTGAAAATGTGTTTGTTGGAAAAAAGGAACTTACTTATTTTACTTAGTTAAAAACCACATTCTGGCTGGGCATAGTGGCACATGCCTGTAATTCAAGCACTTGGGAGGCTGAAGCAGGAGAATTGCCATAAGTTCAAGGCCTGCCTGAACTTACATAGTGAGACCTTGTCTCAAAAGTTCCATAGTGTGAAAAGTAAAATCAAATGTGTCTCTGTGGAGCATATTTGAATCATCTGGATCACTTACTGGGCTTATTTACTGGTTAGACTGGGTGTAATACAAGAGTGAATGCAGGGGGCCTTGGATCCCCAGTAATGTCATTGAGATGCACTGAGAAAACTCCAGGGCAAGTGTTAAAGATTCTTTGCAAACTTTCCCTTTTGATAATAAATTGTTCCTTGACTGCTGTGGACAAGTTTGCAGTTCCATTTGCATTAGCTTAAAAAAAATTAAATACCTAGCAATCAAAGAGAAGGAAGTTCCAGCTGTGATGGTGCATGCCTGTAATCTCAGTGCTCTGGGATGCCAAGGTAGGAAGATCATAGCCTTGTGCAAATTTGCCACTTAGCTATCAAAATTTTTAAAAAGGGCTGGGGATGTAGTTTAATATGAGGTCTTGGGTTCAATATCCAGTACCAAAAAGCAAAACAAACAAGAAAAAAAACTACCATGAAAATTACAGAACACTGAAGAAAGAAATTGAAGGCATTAGGAAGTGGAAAGAATCCTTGTACATGGATCAGCAGGCCTAATACTGTTAAAATGGCCATATCACCTTACCAAAAGTGCCTGCAGATTCAGTGCAATCATCATTAAAATTACTGTATGAATATTCTTCACCCAGCTAGAAAAACCAATCCCCAAATTCTTAGGGAATTTGAAAAAAAGAAATAACCAAAAACAATCCTGAGCAAAAAAAACAGTGCTAGAAGTATCATAATGCCAGTTACTAAGTTATACTACAAAGCCACAGTAACAAAAACAACCTCGTACTGGCATAAAAACAGACAAGTGGAATTAAAAAGACTGAAGGAAACTCATGAACCTATGGCTATAGGATACTTGACAAAGTAACCAAAAACATGGTAGACAAAAGATAACCTGCTTAACAAATGGTTTCTGGGAAAAAGATAACCATTCAAATCATAATGGATCAAAGACTAGATGCATACACACAGAAACCTTGAAACTGCTGGAAAACAATGGGAAGCGCTTGAACCCATGTGCCCTGGTAGACTTCCTGAGTAGAACTCCAGTAGCACTGAAAATATCAAGAATCAAATGGAATTGCATTAAAATAAAAAATTTATTTGCACAGCACAGGAAACAGTGAAGAAGAGACAACTTTCTGAGTGGGCAAAAATTGTACTAGCTACTCTTCTGGTAGAGGGTGTATAAAGAACACAAAAAGTTAACCTCCCCAAAACAACCCAATTGAAATGGCAGGTGGGCTGAGTGGACTGTCTTCAAAAGGAGTACAAATGGCCAGTAAGTTTATGGGAGAGAGGGGCCAAGGGGTTTGTCATCTTTAGCCACTAGAGAAATGTCAGTTAAACTGATTGACAGTTCATCTCACCTCAGCTAGAACAGCTATCGTGAAGAATATAAAATGCTGGTGGCAATGAGGGGGGAAAATGCTCGTACATTACTAGTGGGAAAATATAAACTAGTAAAATCACTGTGAGAACCAGTATGGAGATTCCTAAGTCCAAACCGAAGTAGCCACTTGATCCAGTTATACCATGCTTGGGTATATTCCTGAAAGAATTAAAGACGGTGTCTTACAGTAATACGTGCATGTTTACAGTGGCACGACTCACAGTAACTGAGTGGTGGAAACAGTCCACTTGTGCATTAGCAGAGGAATGGTTAGAGAAAATGTGTACATAATGAAATTTTATTCAGCCGAATATAAGAAGGAAATTACCACAGGAAAATGAAACTGGATTCCATCACGTTAAGCAAAGTATACAAACAGTGCATGTTTTCTCATATGAGAAACCTAAGATAAATGAATAAAAGGAGAAATAATAAAATTAGAAGTTAAATTCTTGGAAATAGATGAGAGAATCATGGAAAGAGAGGGAGAAACAGGAAGAGGGGGAGGAAAGGGATTAAAAATTATCAGGATATATCCGTTTGCCAATGCCCCAAAACTAAAACATGCACTAATTTTTTAAAAATTCTAAAAATAGAACCTTTCCTCTGCAGTTTAAGAATTTGCTTAGCATGGCATTTGTATCTTGAATGTTCTGTTAACAAGTCAGATGCAAGTGGCATATACCTGTAATTACAGCTTACCCAGGAGGATCGCTTTAGCCCTAGAGTTCAAAACCACTCTGAGCAACATAGTGAGACCTTGACTCTGAAAGAAAACAGTTAACAGTGAATCAGGAAACACTTGTATTACAAACGAAGACATTTAACAAATGGACACCAACTTTGGCATAATGATACTAGACCTTCCTTGTGTTTGGGAGGGTTTGGCACTTCATATAGGACATGATTAAAATTACATTTAATTAGATGGTTTATACTTTTCATGTGCTGTCTTCAGTATTATAGGGATTCAAAACCAATTGTTTTTAAATGACTTTTTGAAAGTTATTGTTCCAAAACATCAAGATATATTGAAAATATTGCTAAGAGTAAAATTTACAATTTTAATTGATAAAACTCTAGTATTTTATTCTTAAAATACTTAAAAGTGAAGAGAATCATTGCCTATTTATGTGACATGAGCGCCACCTTCTGGATATCCCAATGATAAATTGATAGTCATTTGATGATAATGTCACCTTGTTTCACCTGACATAAAGAACTTTGGATAGTTTTAAAATTAGTATCAAAATTATTCCACAGTTTAAAAATGGATTTTTAAGTTAAACTTTGATTTGGAGATAATTGTAGTTTCACAGTGGCTGTAAGCACAGATCTTGCATACCCTTTAGTCAGTTTTACCCAGTGATAACATTTGGAAAAAGTATCATACAGTATCATGAGCATAGGCAAAGACTTTCTGAACATAACACCAGAGGCACAAGAAATAATACCAAGAATCAACAAATGGGATCATAGCAGTGATTAGATAATCTACAGTTTGGGGAGAAAATTACCAGTTATTCCTCAAACAGAGTGCTAACGTCTAGAATATATGAAGAACTGAAAAATAATTAAACCCCACCAAATAAAAGACCCAATCAGAAACTGGGAAACCAAAATTAATAGACATTTCTCAGAATAAGTAGTACAAATGGCCAATAACTACATGAAAAAGTACTTCACATTGTTGGCCATTAGAGAAATGCAAATTAAAGCAATACTTGAGATATCGTTAGCACTCTAGAAAGAATTACCATCATCAAGAAATCAAACTGTAATAAATGCTGGTGATGCTGCAGGAAAAAAGGAAACATTCTATGTTGTTGGTAAGAATATAGACTATCCTTTAATGTACAACCAGTGTGGAGATCAATATGGAGATTCTTCAAAAAGCTAAAATTAGGAATTCCATGTGACCCAGGTATTCCCCTTTTAGGTATCTTCTCCAAAAAGTTGAAGTTATCATATTATGTTTATAGCTGTGTAATTTATAATAGCTAAATCTTGGAAACAGCCTATATGCCTGTCAACAGATGAATGGATAAAGAAAAGGTGGTATTTATACACAATGGAGTACTACCTTGCCATAAAGAAAGTGCACTCAAGAACATGTTAAGTGAAATGAATCACACACACATGGTTTCTCTTGGATGAGAAACCCAAAATATAAAGAGCAAAATAAAGAGTGGGAGGTAGAGAAACCTTTTTCAAGTGGTAAGGGGACCATGAGATGGAGGGGAGGGGGGGAGGAAGGAAAGGGAAAAGGGATGAAGAATTTTAAAAATGGAAATAGAGCTTCTACAAAGGAAAGGGGAACAAAAGTTGAGGAGCAGAGAAAAATGGGAGCAGAAGGGAAAAGAATTAGTATATGTTATGTGCAAATCCCCCACTATAAATATAATCATTACGTATTGCAAATATGTATTAATATAAAATTCTACTGACATGTATGAAGACTTATTTAGGGAGAAATGTCTACAATTCAAATGCATCAAGCCACACAGTGAATTCATGGATGGAGAGAGATGGCTAAATTGACAGCTATGTGAAAATTGAAGCTAGCAAATAAATTGACAGATATGTGAAAATTGAAGCTAGCAAAACGTGGCACCAGATGGTGGACATCCACTGAAAAGTACCTTCAAGCTTACTGTATGTTTGAAATTTTTCATGATAGAATTTGAGAGGAAAACAGAACAAAACAAAAGACATCCAAGTAGACAGTTTAGGCAAGTAGTTAAATACACACATTTGGAATTGAGAGATTTCAGCATATTACATGGCATTTGAAGCCACGAGACTGGATGGGGTCACCATTTGAGAAGGTGAAAAGTAGCACAGATTGAGCATGGGACACAGCAACGTCTAGAGCTCTGAGGAAGAGGAAGTAGAAACAGCTAACTAGATGGCCTGTCTACTAGGCAAATGTATGTCAAGAGCAGGCGCTATCTGGAAAGCCAAGAGCAGTTAGAGATGAAAGAGGAAGGGCCTCATCAGATGTATCAAAGGCCGCACATAGGTGAGGAGACAAGGTGAAATGCCCATTGTTTCTGCAATGTGGTGGTTATTTGTGATCTTGAGAGCAGCAGTTCTGTGACAATACTGGGAACAAATAAAACTTTGGAAGAATTTTGTTGCAAGGGGATTCGAAAAATCAAATTGTTTCTAGCATTAAAAGTAGAGGTTTTGCAGGGGAGAGTTTAGGAATTTT